CTACAAAGGTATTGACTTTCGAAATGTTATGTAAAACTAACGTTTCTTTCTTTATTCAACGCGTAACGTATTCCTTATTGGTGCGTAAGATTTTATTTCGATGATGTGACTACAAATTAATGTTAGTAAGACTTTATTTCACAACGACGATAACAGCGAAAGCTTTTTATATTTTGATGTCTTTATGCTAATTATCGTATCATATGATTTGCCTATTTTGACAGTTGTGATTAATTTTTTGTTTACACTGGACTTACTTGCCACACTGGCCATGGCACCCAATCATACTGCAGTCTTTATCATGTGACTGCCCTTTTTTTCGCCATCACTAGAAGCTGCATCGAAAAAGGAAATGATTTTGTTTAACTGACTTGGTACAGAAGAAAGCAGTGGGTGATTAAACCTATGCACTCGCTCAGTTTTGCATCGAGATTATTGTCCACGTTGTAACCATTCCCCTAGGTAAAATACAATGTTTCTCTCTTGAATTAATGAAGGAATGTAACCAAAAACCAAGAATAGGTGATCCTCGATCTAGAGTTTAAGCACTGATGGTAAAGCTTCAAATATAGTATGAATTGTACGCATGAGGAACTTACGCCATGAAATATATTAATTCATCAGGACGTTTAATGTTGTGTTTCATTATTGGGATACGTTAAGTTGGCAGATCGATAAAACAAAACTAAATAAAAATTCTAGTTAACCTGAGGTACAATGATTCAACGTTTAGCGGCCCACTTATTGGAACTTGGAATGTCGAATACAATAACAAAAAAGTGTAGTACGCGACATAGTTGCTTAGTCATTTATATAATAACGCCTACTCGAATAATTTAATTAACACCCATGCAAAGAATACGGGTGACCTGTAAGGATTACTCACCTTTGTTTTACCATCAAGAACTTGCCCGTCAGTTAGCTGAATTCCTCTCCGCCCTTCTCTACAAGCATAAGCATAATGCTTCTCACTGGTATTAATACCTATTATCTTTCAATCGTGCTCGGGGAGCAGCGTTGATTTCCCCAGATGATTTTTACAAACTCGCTATTTGAGCGATTGGACCTACCCATGCAATTACAGCAGATAACAAACAGCGAGTTATAATGATGATGTTATTGAGCTCGTGGCTATTGAGAATGCACGTATTGCGCTTGTTAGCGAACAATTACAGGCACCCCGTTCAGTAATACAGCCAGCACGAATAAACTTCAACGGGGGGGATACAACACTCCTCAAATGGAATAAGTCGGGTAAAAATGTATATAAGCGGACTAATAAGGTTAAGTCAGGTATTTTGATGTTTGTGCATTTCCCGGCAAGTGTACTATGCTTGCCCGGGCTACATATCAGCGAGTATCATATTATTAATATGTAGCGGACTAAAACGTTTGCCTTGCTTTTGTTATCTAAGGAAGTGCCGGACAATCCCGCGGACTTTATTTTGCAAAAACAGTTAAACTTATACTTGGGCGGATCGATGTTATAGCATGAATGCGAAACTATCCAATCAGAATGTGTGAATAACAGTTTATATTGTGCCCTTTGCACCGATATCTCTCGAGTTAATGGAATCCGGGGATTCAGTAAGCTCGTTTATAATAACCGCCGCTCAAGAATTTGAGAAATGTTCGGACTTGGTGAAAACTCAGAGTATTATCGAGAGTACAGCCAAAGAAGTTGAAGTCAACAGAGTCTTATTTTGTAAGGCTGTCATGGATTCTTTATTTGAAAGTAAACGTACGGCTGAAGAAAGTTCAACAATGATAACGGACGTTGAACGTCTTGGACCAGTATCGACTGATATCGCGCAATATAAGAATGCGGTGGAAGCACTTTTGAATTATGTGAGGCACAACGAAACTGTTGCCAACGGTCTAGAAACGTCATTCGGAGGGATATCTGATGGTTTGAAGGGATGTTCGAATGATATACAGGAACACTTGAATGCGCTTAACGCTAAAAAGGAAGAACTAGAGAACCTACGTCAACATAAAGAAGAATCGGCTAAAAAGAAGTCATCTGGGAAATGGTGCGCAGGAGGGGGTGGAGTTTCTCTAGCTGCGTCTGTCATTGGTATTATTTTGCTGCCTGAAGCAGCAGCTGTTTACGCAATTACTGCTGGTGTGGCGAGCTTTGCTACGGCTTACGGCGCCAAAACTCTTTCTGATGCAGATGCGCGTCTTGGGCAGCTTACAAAGGAGATTCAAGAGTTGGAAATTCAAATATCCAGCGAGAACGCTGTTAAAAAATTACACGAAGCTCTGAAAAGTGCTACAATAGGAGTTGGCCAAGCAAAAGCTTATTGGCAAAAGCGAGTGGTTGATATTGAAGGACTTCTTAAAAAGCTTGACAACTATGAACGACGAGGACAACATCTCACCGAATTAGAAGCAGAGGTTTTCAAGAAAAAGTGGCTAGACTATAAAAAAGAGTGTGAAAAATATGTAGAGCAACTGTGGAAACACGTCAGAGAACATTTAACAATAAGGTTTTGAGGAATTTTACAGTAACGGTAAGATTTATCCATCCCATAACAATGTTTGTGTATTTATTATCATCTGTTGATATTTTCTCATGTTTATTGACGAAGGTAGGGTTTTTATTCGTTTGTACAAATTTGATTGAATAAATACAAGTCGAATTAGAATAAATACAAGTTTTAATGATGCGGAACACGGAACGTATCATATGAATCAGTAAATATCGAAGGTAAAAATCTGTCACAAGCCCTGGATAATACCAAAAAAAGGAAAAAGAAAGAAACAAAGAACCTAGAATATTTGTTGTCTTATCAATCAGGTTAAACTTATTCTCTGAGACTTTAACTTATCGTTCCTTACTATACGGATTCGCTTGCACAACGGCTAAAGGTTGGAGTTCTTTTATCGCACAGAAGTATTGGTTGCTTTTCTTCTCAGCTTCTGTCCATTTCTCTATTATTGCTCTCCCCATAATCTGTGAGATTTTGATGACTTCCGTTCCGCGAGTGCGATTCATCTCACTAATGAGACCATTAATAGTTTGCTGCTGAGTTCGCCAGAACTGGGAAGATTCTTCTAAAAATAGGAGGAGAAGTGATAGTTTTGCTTGAATCCTGGAAAAAATCATCCTGATGTCTGCGTCAGTTCTTTTCTCAGTGTTTCTGTTGTGGGCTATCGTTCCATCGTTGAATTGTAACAGACTTTTGTTAATATAAGACATAAGAATTGGTTACTTCTGTTCTGAAGACAAAATATAAGTTATCAAGAGAAAGAGTTTTGTTGATTTGATACAAACTTTAACGTTTCCGTTTTCACAAACTGCGAGACCCTGTGCAGCAGCCGCTGTGGCGTTGTTACATCCTGAAATTCTGATTGATTCGCTTCCTCGGAAACGAACTGCCAGTCGTCTGAGATATTACCGAGATTGTCTGCAATGCTATAAAACTCCTTTGATAAGTCTTCTAATCTTTTTATTATTTTCTCCAGAAATTTACCCTCTACTTTCACAGATTCCCCGATAAACGCTAGCGATGTCATTGCGTCGTCCACAGTAGTGTCTCGGTTGGATATGCATTCTAGATAAATAATCATCTCGCGGGCATATGAGGCGAGTTTGTAGGCTGCTAATGCGCTATCGTCTTTAATTTCACCCAATGCCTGGTTAATTTGTACAATTAAGTCTTTTAACTTTAGACGTTTTCCGATAGTGCATGCTTCAACGAGTTCGACAAATATCCGCTGCAAATCGTTAAATGTGTAATCTAGTTCTTTGAAAGGTGGAAGAGAGAGATCTTTCCAACCGTCAAAGTCGAGCGCAAAAGCGGTTGTTAATACTTCGTCAGTCATAACCTGATAGATAAAACTAAACAATGCATGTCATTTGGTTGATCCGTGTGAATTGCGCTTGTTGTACAATTAGATAAACGTTTGTCTGTTTAAAACATTGTCTTCCGGATCTGGAAGTATTGGATACCCGGAATTATTTATGGGAATGATCATGGTACACTCTATTGGCTAATCTAAATACTTAATAATAAGAAGTTCTAAAAAGCGCAACACTAGTATACGTCCTCTTTGAACGGTAATTGCCCTTTGCAAGACATCGTTAATTTATATACATATTTGCTTGACTGATTATTTATTTATTGAGAATATGAGAATAACTGATGACGACGGCACGATCGACAATGCCGTAACGGACTTGTTGGACACACCACTTCCCGATGGAAGACAACTAATTGATTGTATGTCCACCGCATTAATGCTTCTGCGCGATTGTGAACGGTTGACGCCTGATGACGACGTTATTAAGCAAAGCATCGAAAGCATCAAAAGAGAAAAGACAAACTTTCAAGACTTGTGCCACAAGTCTTTAAGGCATAGCATGAAATTGGCTGACCATGCCGATGATGCGGCAATATACTTTCAATGTATATTGGAATTGGAGGGTGGGTTTCCCCAAAGTTTTCTGGAGGCATTCAATAATTTACTCGAAAATGCACTGTCGCTACGAAATGAAGCCAAAGAGTTGAAAACGGGATACAGGTCGATTGTCGAAAAATTTCAAGAAATCAAGCAAAACTTGGAGGAATGTCAAGAACAGTTGGAGTGTTGTGAAAAGCTAGTTCATGAATCGAACCGCTTTCTGACCGCGCAGTTGACAGATGCAAATAAAAAGCAGGAGAAGACGCGGGAGAATGTGAATGCATTTTTTGAAAAAGCCTTGTTACTTATTGCACCTGTTATGAGTTGGGAAGTGTTAATAACTTTGCCTCTAGTAAAACCATGTCTTCTCAAACTCGTGGATGCGTTTACGGTTGGAGATGCAATGAAAATAAAAAGGCTGTTAGAACCAATTCACTCGGGCATAAGTCGCCTCGGCAAGGATCAGAATGATCTCAAGTTGCTTATTGTTAATCTCTGGTAATGCATGATAATGCGTTTTAGTCGTCACCACCAAGACGTTCTATATTAATCTGCTAATTTATGTTTGTAGCGATATAAACTACCAGATCCAAATGTTTGAAACTTTCTGGTCGGCCCAAGTGACGGCTTTGGAAGAAGTCATTCGCAGATTACAACGGCTTCCGCAGACATCGCAACGCTTGCAACTGTTCCCACCGACTGTCGCTGCATTAGGGAGCAAGTATACAGAATTAAAAGAAGACTGTATGAAATACAGTAAAAGTTGTCAACTCGTCCTAGATAAGGATGCCTTGGCTGCAAACTAGACTTGATCTCAATATCGAACTCGAGGTCTTTTAGTACAAATATATTTGGGGGTTATGGGACTCGGACGGTTGTTCTTTCTGTTTTTAATCCGAGGCAATCAACCTACGGCATATGCTGTGCATACCGAAAAATGGTGCAGTATAAGTTAACGTGGTACCGTCTTCGAAACAATTTTGGACATATTATGTTATTTAGTGTAAACGACAATGATAATCGTGTTATAACGTATGTTTATAGATTAATGAGCAAGACTGAATCTTCATCTGGTGTATCTACCTATACTAATACAGTTTCAGATAACTGTATGTCCTTTAAAAGAATTGAGTTTGTTTCTTTAGTTTGTTTCTTTTTTTACTATTGGGACTGGAATAAAGAGAAGAGTTGTATATTCTATTGATTTTAATAATTCAATTGAGCATATCCTTCGGTTTGCGTGTCGGAACGATTAACATGAGGCCAACTAAAAACGATTGCAATAAATTATAACGTCTAACATCCATGCTTCAATCTTGGCTCTTCTGATGTTATTGGAATCTAAATTCATATTTGATTTCTTTTAAGGTTTTTAGCATAATATTTGAGTTAGTTTGCTTATAGAATGTCATTCTTCATATTTGGGTAGTCAATAATAAAAAGCCACTAATGCTTCGTTCAGATGATGTCTACATTGGCATCCTGTTTTCAGTAATACTGCAAGCAACGCATATAATGTCATTTTATTTTATTTTATTTTCTCTGATCGTGCGAGACAAAACAGCTATACATTTCTTTCTGCGCGCTAACGAGATCCGGCTTTTGGACT